TCTGATCCGAGCAGGTCCAGAGCACAATTCGGGAATAGTTTAGCCGGCGGGGGTCCAAGCGGAGAGCACACAGGATGATCAGTGTTTCCGGTAGCGGAACTAAATCTGACGCGCAAAATTCACTTTTAATTTTAATTATAGCGAAAAAATGCTCTTCTTCTACAATCGGCCTAATATAATTAGGCTTATTTAAATGCGTTCGAGCGTTCAAGTCTCCACAGAGTAATACATTTCCCATGGTTTTATAATGGTTAACTTCCTCCTCAAGAATAGAGAAAATATCTGGGTTGTAGTAGGGGGATTCTGATGGAGGTATATAGATGGCACACATGTAGACATGTTGCTCAGCACAAATAATCTGTTTGTTAATTTTCAACCATATATAAGATTCTTTTTTTTTAATAACTGTGATGGACTGGCTCAGTTCTGATTTACACCATATAATCATGCCTCCTGAATCTCTGCCTTGGGTTATTGTAAGATTTTTTGTTGATGTTATAATAATCTCAGTGTAGCCGTGAGGACGACCAGTGGAAACATCTTCTCTGCACCATGTCTCTTGTAAAACTATGAGTCTTTTAACTCGCTATTAAAATCTGGATTTCTGCTCTTTAAACCAAAAGCTGATGATCTCAGACCTTGAATGTTCCAACATGTTATTGTAAACGATTTCATCTCTAAGTGTAATCTGTTCAAAAATCCTCGAGGAAAGGGCTGTGTCATCCTTCAGCAGGTGTAGTGGGAGTCTGGCTGGATGTGGTCTGGATCTGAGAGGCGGGCACAGGGGGTTGTGTGGAGTTCAATCTGGCTTGTAGACTGAGCCTGTCCCTGTTCTGTAGCTATTCTCTCAGAGTAGCCAACTCAGTTCTGCAGTTGTCTCTGTTCTTCCTAAGTTCCTTCACCTCCTCACTGAGATGATCCAGCTGTCTTCTCTGACAAGTTAGTTCTTGTTGAAACTCTCTCAGCTGTGAGTTGACACTGTCCTGTTCTTTCATGGCCTGGAAGACAGGGACAGTAGGAGAGGTAGGCTGCTGTTGGTCTAGCTGCTCTCTGATCTGTACCAGTTCTATTTCCATCTGGGAGAAGTGTTCTCTCATGATGTCCAGGGCTCAGAGTGCTGTAGGAGGAGAGGATCAGTGTCAGCATCTGCAGGCTGTCTGTCTGGAGCAGGGACAGAACAGACTTAAGACAGTTTGAGCTCGACTTTCCTGGCATTTCCATTTCATGGCAGTTCCATTTTTGAACAGGTTTATTGTTATTCTGCTGGTGTCAGAGTCATTTTCTTCCAGTATACGTATTTTCCATCCATTACAAATGCCTGCTCTCTTTATTGCTGGGTAATGAGAGTTGAACACATTCAGCCAGGCATATGGTTCATCTGTCCAGAAGATTAAATTGCAGGATCTTCCATCTTTGTAGTGGTCCAGGAACAGGATTTCTGATCTTTCTCGAAGTAATGTTTGTTTATATTTTCCCCTTGCAGTTTTGCTTTTGATAGCTGGGGGGTAGTCAATGGTTTCAGAGTGTGTAGACATCATGAAACAGTTGTTGATCTTCAAGCTTCTGTGTTCTGTGTTTAAAACAGCACTACTGTTGTTTGATGCCGTTGCTAGGTAACCACATTCCAGTGTTAGCTTGTTAGCTATTAGCTTGAGTGTTTCAGATGGGACTTGTTTTATGGTAATTAATGCAAAAACTTACTAATTTCAGTGTCCAGTAGTTTGCTGTAACTTGCTTGAGTCCCTCTATCCTCTTCTTGTTTGTTTTTGTTCAGTTTGATGCTCTGTTTTGAGCTCTGTTTTCTGAGCTCCTTCTTCAAACTGCATCTCTTTTCCTTCTTTCTCTTTCTTTCTCCTTTTTCCTCTTTTTCTCTTCTCTGGTGTATTCTGATCACTTCTTTTGCATTTTCCTCATAAAAGACCAAAAACAAGCGTTTTGTTTAGCAGCAAGTCTTAAACATGACTTCTCAACAACAACGGAATTCGGAACTCTTCATTCTTCATTTTACCGTCTAGCTTAACTATAGACCTGATTTATTCCGGCTATGAGTAACCCACTTCTACACCATTCACCTGAGAGACTGAATCGAATAACTTTTCGGTAACAAAGCTCTTTTAGTGACCGAGTAGCGGTAGCTTTCACACACGCTACATTTTCCCAAGCATTTCTGAAGGATCGGTAAGTCACGCCACCACCACACACGGACCGGTATGTGTAGCCGACAGAAGCACTTCCTGTGACATCACGTACGATCCTTGGGCTGATGCAGAGCTTTGCTGCAGGGGAGTAAAGACATGCACGATAGAGTTTACTTTCTATTGTGATAGTTACTGTAACACCTCTTGTGAGAAGGATCAGGGTCCAGCCTGGACAGCTCTTCCCTCTACTGAGGAGGAAACTTTTATGTGTAGTGGTAGAAACTTGTTTCCATGAGATGAGATGGTTCTCCATTTGTTGCATAAGGAAATACATTTAGCTGCAATGATATGGCACTAAGTAGGAGAGTTTCTGTGTGTCTGATTTAGCTCTCTCTCGCGCACACACTGTTTGGAGCAGGTTTTATTCTTTCTTCAATTGTTACTGTGAAATGAAGTTAGTTCAATACAAACTAGGCCTATAGCCTACATATATATAATGACCTAACTATAAAATCTTAAAAAATTAAAAGTAGCTTAGATGTAACTAAGTTACTTTTGCCACGTTGCTGTAGCTTAGCTTGCTACATTTCACTGGGGGGTAGCTTCATTTAATGTAAAGTAGTTTTCCAAGTAGCTTGCCCAACACTGTATAGTATTTAATTTGTTTGGATGGATTTCCATTAATGAGAACCTGTTAGATTCCTTTGTCTATTAGAGGTATGTAATCATTCAAAAACTGTCTATCTGATGACTAGTCTAGGGCTATGGTTAGACGTCTATTAACTAGCCTAGACCCATTTTCACCGTCTATTAGATGTATATGTTCAATAGAGGTCTAATTGATGACTGGACTATTTTTGGGCTATGGTTAGACGTCTACCAAACTTTCAGGGACAGCCCAAATTCAGCCGTTTTAGCGTAGACAGCTCCAAGCAGGCAACAGCATAATTTTACCGTCTAGGTTTACTATAGACCTGATTTAGTCCGGCTATGAGTAACCCACTTCTAGCCACAACAACTTTACATGTGGTTACATGACGTTTTTGCCAAAATAACTTGCAAGGTGTATGATATGCATCACGTAAGCAAGGTCTACAGTGATTACAAGGTTTTTTGTTTCATTTCTTTCACATGTTTTATGTGCAGCCTGTGTGTAGCCGTGATTTAGCTCGTAGACAGACCTGCTATTTGTAGCCCACTTTTAGTCTAAGTGGTCAAAAATGATTAATAATGGTTTTTGTCCTGGCAGCATGTGAGATGGTTGATATCCCATTATTTTTTCAATGTCAATAATATCTACAAGATATTAAGTTTCATTTAATTGACATGGTAGTAACCACAATTTAGCTCTTGTGGCAACGTGTAGTCTGCTTTTAGCCCACCCAGCGAAATACAGGGAATAAGTGGTCTAAAATCAACAGCTTGGCTGTAGCCCTGTTTCAGACCAAAGTGGTTACATGTAGTTTTCACCCATGCAGCTGTTGAGGTGTGTGATATCTTGTCATCAAATGCAAGTAAACGTTTGAAACATTTCAACTATCTTTATTTTTGCTGAAACGTTCACTGCATTAACTTTCATTTTAATTGAAAACAAAATGCAATTACTATTTTCATATCATTTTTCAATGCGAGACTTAAAAGTTAGACATCAGAGTTGCCAGATCTCGCGATAAACAAATCCGCCATTTTCAAACGAGGGATACGTTACGACTTCGGCCTTACAGCGAGCAACGGCAAGAGTTTACTGCGAAAAGCGAAAAGACATTTACTTTGGTCTTGTAAGTATCTGTGTCTTTGTTTGACATGTCTTCATTATTTATCTACATTATTTGTTAACGTGTGTAGAAACCGTGACATTTCAGCGGGTAACAGTGTAGAATAAGGCACGTTGTGGTTAGCTTGCATGCAAGTCTTACTTATATTCATATTCCTACATATTCAACATTTATGGATCCCATTTCCCCGAGAGACTGGGGCCAACAGAGAGACCCATCTGATGCTCTTGCCGCATCAAGTAGCACCTTAGATGAAGGTCTAGATTTGGATGTAGCCAACCCATTTATTTTGTCATTATTTATGTTTTTATTACCACATGTTGTTAAAATTGGTAGTATTTTCATATAAACTGTTTTGTATTTATAATATATCAATAATTCCTTTATATTTTCATCATGTTGTATTTTCTTAAGTTGTCTACGTTGTAATCCTTTTTCTTAATAAAATCTTTATATTTAATTTGTTTGGACGGATTACCATTTATGAGAGCCTGTTATGTTTGAGTAAAAACAAGCCTTTAGCCACTATTCTGTTGTCTATTAGGAGGTAGATATGTAGTCATTCAAAAGCTGTGTATTTGGTCTATTATTGGGCTATAGTTAAACGTCTAACTTTTCACTGACAGCCCAAATTCAACCTTGTTTTAGCCTAGACCCATTTTCACCAATACACGTCTATATGTAGCCGTTCAGTGGTGGTCTGATTGATGACTAGACTATTTTTGGGCTGTGGTTAAACGGCTATTAACTTTTCACTGACAGCCCAAATTCAACCTTGTTTTAGCATAGACGTCTGGGCTCTGTTTAGACAAAAAAAACCCTGCTAGCTGGGGTCCCCGCGACGCGCGACATATTTTGGTTCGGTGGATCACCTGATCATTAGGGATCTCTGTTTGTGTCGTTACGTCCTCTGCATTACCCACGTCCTTCTGTGGGTCTACCGGGGTATCTGCCCCTACGACTGATCATCTAACTTCACCAGGCTAACTCGTCCTACACTCGCCGTCTCCGCTCCGTTTCATATAGCCTACTAAAAGGATTTAATCTAAAACGGTCAGGATGCTGTGATTAAAAGAATCGTACTGACCTTGTGGAGTGCAGTCCATTTATTCCAGGCAGTCCTGTCTGTCACCCAATTGCATTATTATTCTTTACGGTCGCCTAGAATTTTAACCTAATTTGCAAAAAGAGCATCAATGTCAAAAGAACTGAGCGTGTTCTCACGGCTCAGGAGTAGCATCGCTGCTTTTAAATGTTTATAGATGCAGAATATGTAGGTACTTCCGTTCCGGAGCTCCTGGATTGCTGGATCACTTCCTTTTGGTCGATAACAATAAATACCAAAATTAGATTACGTCGAGATATGGTCCATTTCCATTAGTGTATGTTTTGTGGTTATCGATAATTTTTATATTTCAATATAAAAATCCGATGTAAAATAAATACAACCTAAAAGCTTTACATGCCTTAAACATATCACCAGCAGGTGGTGCTGCTACATTAGCAGTTGATTTTTGGACAACCACCACACTGGACAGTCTGTGCTTAAGTCTCTTAATTGATGTCTATGAAGATTGTCAGTCATCCAGGTCATAGTTATCCAACGAAGGTTAACATCAAGGGCAACTGGACTTGGTTGAAGATACTGGAAGATGACCCAGAACTGAAGAAGTCCTTTGGATGAGGGACGAAACGTCTTCCAGTATCTTCAACCAAGTCCAGTTGCCCTTGCTTTTAACCTTCGTTGGATAAGTCTCTTAATTGCATCCACCTTTGTCCAGCCCACCAGGGATGCATAGAGAGACGCAAGAAAATCTGTTAATATACTATTGAAACTCTTGTCTAAAGGTGACCAACTAGGTGATAACATTTTTTAATAGAATCTCAACTGTATATTACAGGAGGAAAGTAAAATAAGTTTGATTCTGATCAAGGGAAAAAGTTTCAAGGTTTGGTTCAAGGTTTGTTTAATCCTAATGTTAGTCCTTTCCCAGCAACCAATAGCCGTCATTTCACAATAACTTTACATGTTATCATGTAAGCAAGGTCTACAGTGATTACAAGTGTTTTTGTTTCATTTCTTCACGTTTTATGCGTAGCCTGTGTGTAGCCACAATTTAGCTCGTAGACAGACCGGCTATTTGTAGCCCACTTTTAGTCAAAATGGTCAAAAATGATTAATAGTGTTTCTTGCCCTGGCAATAATATCTACAATTGACATGGTCTATCTATTCAATTAAATTTTATTTATATAATATAACAAAAGTTATCTCACAACGCTTTTCATAAAAGAGCAGGTCTAGACCGTACTCTGTGATGTTAGACTGCACTCTGTGATCTGTAGCCATGATTTAGCTCTTGTTTGGACAGGCTATGTGTAGTTAGTTTTTTGCCCACCAAGCAAAATAGAGGCAAACAGTTGTCTAAAATCTATGGCTTGGCTATACCTCTGTTTCAGACCAAATTGGTTACATGTAGTTTTCACCCATGCAGATGTTGAGGTGCGTTCAGAATCAGAATCCGCTTTATTGCCAGGTATGTGTACACATACGAGGAATTCGACTAAGGATTATACATTGATCACGATGTGCTTACTTGTACAAAAATACCATAATACAATAATAAAATAAAATCAGACACAAACTACAGAGTAGACAACACTAACATACACACTATGAACAAAACATTATAGACATATTGACAAATAGTTCAGTGATCAGAGTGCAAAGGATGCAAGAGTAAACTATTATTCTCATTATGTACATGTTGAAGGTGGATATGATATACAGGTACACATACATGTACATATGTACACGGTGTGATGGAACATAGTGCAAAGGATGCTGGAAAAAATAAATAAGACCTATGACCTTATGACCTGAGGTAGGTGTATTGGTATACAGTATATACAATATGACATAGTATGAACAGCACAGAAATAGAGAATGGTGAATAAATAAATAAGTGGAAAACAGTAAACAGGTGGCTGATTAGAGACAGAGTTACTGGATTATTGCACAGGAATTGTTCCAGACACCGTGAGTCAGAAATGAGCTGTTGGCTTGTGGGAAGAAACTGCTTTTGTGTCTGTTGGTTTTGGCATACAGTGCTCTGTAGCACCTACCAGAGGGGAGAAGGTGGAACAGGTTGTGTCCCGGGTGAGATGGATCTGCAGTGATGTTTCCTGCCCGTTTCCTGACTCTGGAAATGTAAAAGTCCTGAATGGAGAGCAGGTTGGCACCAATTATATTTTCTGCAGTCCTGACTGTCTGTTGTAGTCTGCTCCTGTCTTTTTTGGTGGCAGATCCAAACCAGACAGTGATGGACGTGCAGAGAACAGACTGGATGATGGCTGTGTAGAACTGGATCAGCAGCTCCTTAGGCAGGTTGAGCTTCCTGAGCTGACGCAGGAAGTATATCCTCTGCTGGGCCTTCTTGATGATTGTGTCAGTGTTGGGCTCCTACTTCAGGTCCTGGGATATAGTGGATCCCAGAAACCTGAAGGATTCCACAGCAGACACAGGGCTGTTGAGTATGGTGATGGGGGGCTGAGCGGGGGGGGCTCCTCCTGAAGTCCACGATCATCTCCACAGTTTTGAGCGTGTTAAGCTCTAGGTTGTTCTGGCCGCACCAGAGAGCCAGCTGACCGACCTCCCGTCTGTAGGTCGACTCATCACCGCCCTGGATGAGGCCGATGACCGATGTGTCGTCAGCGAACTTCAGGAGTTTGACAGATGGGTCCCCTGAGGTGCAATCGTTGGTGTAGAGGGAGAAGAGCAGGGGGGAGAGCACACACCCCTGGGGGGCGCCAGTGTTGATAGTCCGGGTGCTGGATTTGATGTTTCCCAGCCTCACCTGCTGACTTCTGTCAGTCAGGAAGTCTGTGATCCACTGACAGGTGGAGGCTGGCACAGTGAGCTGGGTGAGTTTGGTGCTGAGGATGTCCGGGATGATGGTATTGTCCACAAACAGGATCCTAGCATATGTCCCTGGAGAGTCGAGGTGTTGCAGGATGTGATGCAGACCCAAATTGACAGCATCATCCACTGACCTGATAGCCCTGTAGGCAAACTGCATGGGGTCCAGCAGGGGACCTGTAATGTCCTTTAGGTGGGCAAACACCAGTCTTTTAAAGGACTTCATGACTACAGATGTCAGGGCGACAGGTCTGTAGTCATTCAGTCCAGAGATGGAGGGTTTTTTTGGGACCGGGATGACTGTGGAGCATTTGAAGCAGGAGGGAACTTCACACAGCTCCAGTGATCTGTTGAAGATCTGAGTGAAGATGGGGGCCAGCTGGTCCGCACAGAGTTTCAGGCAGGATGGAAGACACCATCAGGTCCAGGAGCCTTCCTGATCTTCTGCCTTTGGAAGAGGTGGCTCACGTCCTCTTCACAGATCTTGAGTACAGGTGAGAGGTCAGAGATGGAAGGTGACTGTTTGAAGATGGCGTTGGAGTGGGGGAGAGGTGTGACTCTGGGCTTTTCAAACCTACAGTAGAAACCATTCAGCTCGTCTGCCAGTCATTGAGTACCAGCAGTGTTGGGGATGGTCTCTTGTAGTTTGTGAGTGTCCATAGGCTTCTCCACACTGACGCAGGGTCGTTGGCTGTAAAGCTGTTATTTAGCTTTTCAGCATAGCACCTCTTTGCAGCTTTGACCTCTTTAGTCAGCGTGTTCCTGGCCTGGCCCCGTTCCCACTTCTGAAGGCCTCCTCCTTGGTCTGACGAAGCTGCCTGAGTTTCGTTGTGAACCAGGGTTTTTGGTTGTTGTTGTTGTTGTGATGTGTGGAAGGTTTTAGTCGGCACACACATGTCCTCACAAAAACTGATGTAAAATGTCACAGTGTCAGTTAGTTCGTCCAGGTCAGTGGCTGCAGCCTCAAAAGCACTCCAGTCAGTGCAGTCAAAGCAGGCCTGTAACTCCAGCTTTGACTCGTTGGTTTAGCAGATTTCAGTTTTTGCCTGTGTGTCGGGATAAGATGAACCAGACAGTGATCAGAGAGTCCCAAGGCTGCACGGGGAACAGAGCGATGTGTAGCAGTGGTCCAGTGTGTTAGTGTCCCTGGTGGGACACTTAATATGCTGTCTGTACTTTGGGAGTTCATGACTGAGGTTAGCTTTGTTAAAGTCCCCAAGAACAATGAGCAGGGAGTCTGGATGTTTTTTCTCCACGTTAGTTATCTGGTCAGCCAGGTGTAGTAACGCCTCACTAACACAGGCCTGAGGTGGAATGTAAACAGTGACCAGAACAAACGAGGAAAACTCCCGCGGTGAATAAAACGGTTTACAGTTTATAAATAATGTCTCTAAGTGAGGGCTGCATGATGTCTTCAACACTGTGACATCTGTGCACCAACCTTCATTTATATAGAAACAGAGTCCGCCTAACCTTGTTTTTCCCATGAGCTCCCTTTTGCAATCCGCGCGGATGAGATTAAATCCCGGTAGGTGAAGTGCGCTGTCCGGGATGCGCTCGGTGAGCCAGGATTCGACTGAGGGCAGCAGATCTGCAGAAGTCTGAGTTGGTTCTGTTGAGGAGCAGCAGTTCGTCCATTATGTTGGCCAGAGAGCGAACATTCGCCAGGTGGATTGAAAGGAGCGCAGTGCAAAATCTCCGCTGTCTCAGCTTAACCAGCGCGCCTGCTCGTTTTCCCCTGCGCCGTTTCCGAAGGATCACAAACAGAGCTGCTGCTCCTCCAACTAATACCTCTGGGAAAGTTCCAGGGTCAATAAGGAGCGGTGGAATAGTATGAGCAGTAGAAAGTCCAATGTTTAAGAGCTCTTCTCTGGTAAAAGTTACCAGAGAGGGACGGCAGAAAACAGCGTTAATTAACAAAAACGAAAAAAGCACTACGGAGCGTAATCCCAAGGCGGCCGTCTGTGGCGCCATCTTGGAAGCATTTGGACTTTCACTCCATTTATGTGACAGCTGAGCATGCATCTACCACCAACTAAACTGACTGCTTGCTTCCTTTTTGATCCACTGTTTCGTTTGTATGACTGGGTAGCTGGTGGTGTTTCATCTCTTGAGGTAGTATTCATAGTGCCAGTGGACTCTACATTGACCAGGGTCACTGGTGATCCCTCCCCAGTGTGCGCACTCTGTTTTTCAAAAGACAGCCAATGGCTCTGTGTCCCTCTTGCTCACAACAAAAGCAGTGGATGCAGCTGTCATTACCTTGGGCTATACACTGCTGGTATTTTCCTTTAATTTCTGACTTGACCGGTGGTTTTGTGTGTGGGGGTGTGGCA